CGTGCCTTGTTTCCGCGTGCGGTCTCATAAGGGTTCCTGGCGCGGAAATCGCTAAATTGGGTGCCAGGAAAGCTAGAAGGCTGAAATTTTAAAGTGATGTTTTCAACTCATGTTCAACCTAAACTCATCATATCCAGCCTCCAGGCGTATATGGTTCTTGCGTACAGCCCCGTGAAAATTTTTAATGGGAAAATGGCTAGCTCGGGAAAGGAAAACTGGGAGGCTGGTATTTTAAGGAGATGTTCCCAGCCTATGTATAACTTAAAGTTATCAAATTCAGCCTCTAGAATGCACGGTTCTCGCGTATGGCCTTGCGAAATTTTTTGAGGAGAAAATGGCTAATTCGGAAACCAGGAAAGTTTGGAGACTGAAATTTTAAAGTGATGTTCCCAAGTACAACTTAAAGATTCGAAACTCCCAGATATGTTCTCAGGCCACGTGCAGCCTTGCCAAAGTTTTGGCGGGAAACTTGCTAACTCGAGAACCAAAAAAGCTGAAGAGCTGAGGTTTTAGGAGAATACTCCCCGCCCAAATACAACTTAAAGGTTTCAAATTCAGACTCCACTTACGGGCGCTTAAATTTTTGACGGGGAAATTGCTTCTTAAACAGCTGGGTCATTTTCAAAAAACGATCGCTAAACGGAAATTGTTTACTTTCTTTTATGCAAAATTTACGATGATATACGATACCGACCGCACAAGGTAGATGTGAAGAAACAACCGTTCATGCAGTTAGCGTAATTACTTCAAGTTTGGTGCAAAAACGCATGATCACACCGGCTCGTCTGGTGCGTTCTAGCCTAGGTCTGTGCGAACTCTTCGCAGCATTTGTAAGCTCTATGGCTTTAGGAACAGTGAAAAATTTTGGAATTTAGCAAGCCGCGAAACACGTTTCGTAAAGCTACTAGACTGCTCAAACGGATCTGGATCATTTGTCCTTAGCGACAGCAAACAAACTGAACGGGAGAAGCATTCTGAAAACGAAGTAAACTTGAAGCGAACGTGGGGATGTGTCTTTGCTTGCTCGAAAAAACTTTATTTATGCGTGTATTTTTTGTTTAATAAATAACAAAGCATACTGCAATTTGGAAAATTGAGGAAACTTATGCATATAAGCAATGTAAAAGTGGGAGCTGAGCATGAAAACAAAGCAAAAAGCTGGGCTGAAAACACAACGCGCTTTGTCATATACCAGAAAGGAGCTAGTACTAGGCTGTATGCTGCATCAAGTCGACTAGCAGAGGAAGTGAAAAGTGCACTATGAGGACGAAACGATCGATGATAT